GGGCTCAGTTGAGTGTATTTGTCCCCCCCCCCGCCAATTTGGGTGACGAGTTTAATTGAATCCGATTCATGACTTACAGAATGTTTTGGAGTTCAAAAAAGGTAAATGAGCGACAAGAGAAACCTGGAATCGTCATTTGACACTGTTTCCGTCTTTATTAGCATCCCGACTATCGACACGTTGGATATTATAGAGCACCGGTTAAGGAGCAGGGAAGAATACCCTTTATCAGAAGGATGGAAAAGAGAAGACATACTGGAAGTCACTCATATGTCTTAGTTCTACGCAATTTTGGCATTTGAAAAGCAATGCACTCAAACTCCAGTTGTACCATGGGATCATCAACATCTTAGTTTCTGCCGAAATATACACGGCAAAGGTCAAAGAAATTGTACTGAGAGCAGTGGCGCTTCGACCAAAGACATGGTACAGGTACGTAAGTGGTACTTGGGTCTGTCATAACATAAGCTAAACCAGCTTGATGAGTTCCGGGAAAATCTGAACAAATTCCACGACAAGATCCAGTTCGCCTACGAACTCGAAGAGGATGGATGGTTTAATCGTTTCTTGATGCAAATACCCTGAAGGAAGAAGTTTATAAGAAGGTCACTCATACCGGAACATACGTCAACTATAAGTCGCACACACAGGTATCTTCGGAAGCTGCACCGAATACAAACTCTATGCCTTAGAAATGTGGGGAGTTGCTAGAACCTTACTACCTCAGATGAGTAGAATAACAAGTTGATCAATGAATTAAGATGAATTTGCAAGTCGAAACCCTTTGTTCTGATCATTTGCGAATGATGACCAGAAGTTGAACAGAATAAACTACAGTCAGACTATTTACACCTTGGAAAACTGTGATAGCAGCCTTCTATTGACGATACCCTACTAAAGGAATCTAAGAGAAAAGATTCAAAGGCTCACGAACAAATAGGGCGACAGGACAATTCCTGTTCCCTTAGAGGCTAGCGTGTCCTCTGTACAAGAAAGGGATCTTACCACAACACAATACCCTAGGGGTAGGTGCCATCAGAGAAATTGGAAGAAAGAAAGCTCAAAAACAGACTACGGGAACGCGGCTTACAAAAGCCAAGCTGATGGTAGAATAGAAAATTCTTAAGAATCGTGATATTCATTAACAATCCAATAAGTGAATTCTACAAGAGGGAAACTGGAGACAACGCAAGAAGCTGTGATAGCGGATCAAACTAGTGACAAAATGTATAGACGGA